GCAAAACATCTGCACACTAGCTGCTGTAGCAGTTTCTGTAAATTGTAAACATCACAGTTATCCCCAAGAATAGAGGCATGCTGCCATTTCAGTGAGTCAAGAGGCCTTTGTTGGTCTGATAAACAAAATGGAATTTTTTTTTGTATTAAGGATGTCCCAACAACTTTTTTCCCATTTTCGTTACGATACCAATACGACAGCTTTGAGTATTGAGTGACACCAATTTTGACCAGATATGATAATATCTGTACAATAAAAATCATACATACTTGTGACCGATTTAATATTAACCGATGGTTATATAAACCTATCATAGTTTCTATCAACTAAGATAGCAAACTAACTAGCAAATAGTTTTGATATATCCCCATGGCAAGGTGTTTAGTGCTATATAAAGGACATGCAGCTGACAGTAGCCAATCACATGACACCCACGACTCCTCATCCCTGAATGGCAAAACAAACCACTGATACATAGAACGCAACCAGCAGCTATTATAGTTTTTCTTCATATAACCTTGAAAACACCAACATAAACTTCCTAATCTCATGTTCATCATATGGATGTATAAACCGACCAGGAGGAAAGGACGGCTTTCCAAAAGACCCAGGAAGGCGAGCGAGATGGGTGGCTGCTGTAAAGAGACAGAGCTGGAAGAAGCTACAACTAGCAGAATTAGCAGAAATTACTTCTTAAATGGTTTGTTTTTAATGCTCAAATTACTGTTTTAAAAATGTTTTTTTTTTTTTTATTCAAACAACTGCTAAGATAAGCATCATCATGGTAATTTAAAGGCATTGATGTTTGAGAGAGACATAAAATGGTGAGAAAATTTCCCGGTCTGAATAGTTAACAGGCTAACTGTTTTTATAGTGTTGTCCTCCATGCTCCCCTCCTTCCAGCAGCATAACCCAGCACTCTTCCTCACTTGGTATACAGAAAATACATGCTGTCCTCTAAACTTTTATAAGCCTTCAGTGCTTTTCCAAAAAAATAAGATTGGGAATGTCTTAAACAAGTATACAAGTCATAGTAGGTGAAGTCGTGGATATCCTACAGATGGCAGTCTTGAATCGGTAAAAACAAGCTAGCATGCACATTATAGGGATCCTTCACTCCAACAACAGAACTTTTCGAAATGTGGCAGGGTTTTTTAACTCCCCATCTAAATGTACAACATATGTAGACAATGTTAGGCTGGCAGATTCGCCACTCATTTATTATCTCTGTAGTAAATATCTGGCTGTTCATGACACGAATGCAGGTGGTTTTATGTTGTCCATCATGGCAAAAACAGAGAGCCGTCATGGGACTGCACGTCATCTATAGGCTGATGAAGTAAGATTTTCTCCACTCATAAAAATGGCTTTTAAGTGCCAGAGAATAATCCATACTGTTCGTACAAGATAACAGACTGGTTAAAGATGCTCCTTGGTTGTGATGAGTTGTTCAATGACCAACTCATCACAACCAAGGTAAGTGGACAGCCTTTAATTGGAAATTAGCATGAAAATCACCGGTTCTTAGAGAAAATTAGGGATGAGATATTAGTATGGACCAGAATATTTCAGGTGTGTTTCTCAATATCATGCTGAACTGTTCCCAATTCTTAAGGCATCCATATGTTATTGGAAAGCTGCTTGATTAGAAAAAAATTAAATCCAAAAATAGTGACTAAAATGCACTGAAATAGAAAACAGGAAAAATCTTTAAAGGAGCACTATAAAACCCACCTCTCTGGAGGGACACTGCTTATTAAAGCTAGTTTGGGTTGCTCTGAGAGTAACAACAGCAAAGGAGACTGCGTGATGGCTTCTCCACTTTAAAGTCACTTCAGTGAAAAGGCTAAGCGCAGAGATACACAGACAAAAGGATTCCAGTTCTGCTGCAGCCCTCGCTTCTATGTGCATTCATAGCTCAAGGTACAGTAGCTTTATGAACACAGGGCTTGCTCTGTGGTAAGCATCAGCTCCGCCACCCCCCTCCTGCTCCATCATTAATACAGGACATGACCATTTAGACGCCTTTTTTGGAATCCTAATGGAACATGGAACAAAAGCCTTGATGCTTATTAATGAGTTTGTGCTTAATCATTGGGATTTTACATAAAACTAAATGAGCCATGTCTGCAGGATGAAGCTCCCCCCCCATATGTGGAAAAACAATCGCCAGTGATTTCCCTAATATCTGTCAAATAGCAGTTATCACCCGCAGCGTTGAACAAATGAACGGTCTTTAACGTGGCCACTATAAGGGGGCTGTCGTCAGTCTTCTATTCTTGCTTCGAGGTGAATATCTTAACATACATTCAGATCCTGACTCCTCAGCCCTACTGAGCATACATTACATGTTCAGCATGTTATTCAAACACAGATAGACCTTTACCCTGAGAAACCATGACTATATCACACAAGGATTTTAAAAAACAACAACAACAAAAAAAAAACGAGCAGGTATGCAGCCACACTACATTGTCAAACTGCAGCTTAAGCTAGGAAATCCTGAGAACTTTTTTACACCAGACTCTGTCCATGCAGCAAATTATATCAAACTCCATAACTGACCACAGAGCAATCCTGTGATCCAAGGAGTGTTGTGCAGCTACTTCAAATATGGCCGGCAGATGACCCTTAACAAAACCTCGGCTGATTGCACAACAGCTCTGGACCTGCTTTGTGTGTGTGAGATTGCTGGGATGGGGTTTTCTGCTAAGGTTAGAACTTATGAGTAGTTCCTAAATTACATTTCTAACATTAATGCAACTATATACATTTTTTTTTTTTTTTAAAAGCACTCCTGGGTGGATAGCCCTTCCACAGAACTAAACTTCCCCTCTGCCAGTCAGGACAGCCCAGGGTCAAAGCAAAGCATTTTCTAACAGCTGACATATTGTTAACATGTAAACAAAACTTTACACGCTCTTTGTTCTGATAAACAACTGATGGTTTATTCTGGATCCTAGGAGAGAGGGAAAAAAAGACCATAATTGTGTTTTAGAGTGATCTGGCTGTAGTACCAAGTATCCAATAACAACTGATAAGAATAAACACTGTCTGACTGATTACTCAGCAGAACTGATAAAGTTTTCCAATTCTTCCCACATAGGAGTTAGAAAATATTGGGACAATTTAGGACTGATGCAGTTTTATTTTTATTATCTTACAAAAAAAAAAAAGCAAATTGTACATTTCAAATATAGAATAATTATCGTTTAACCTGAAAAACGGACAAACTGCTTTGTGAAGGGCAATGACCACACCAGCGGGGTCAGGGATAAAGCTCTGGTGCTCAAAACAAGTTTTGATTATTAAGCATTATTTCGAGTTTTGAACATCCACTAATGTACCTCCAGACCACCCACAGAAACTAAGAAGAGTGGCACAAATCTACCAAGTCCTGGCTGTCCGCTTACAACGACCAACTGGACAAGGGGAGCATTAGTCAGAGACAGGTGTCGTAACTTTGGAGGAGCCACAGAGATCTTCACCTGAGATGAAGGAATCACCCAAAACATAAACTATCAGTCACGTGCTTCCCTGGAACAAAGGCCCTTGTTCAAAAAAAAAAAAAAAAAAAAGCCATAAGACACCCTATCTGCAACGTACCACAAGCCACGGCAAATATGTAGAAGAAGTCACTGTGGTTAGACAAGACCCCAAAACTTAACTGCCATGTTATGTACTACGTGCAAAATGTAAAGAGTGGATGAACCTGGCACTGCAAAGCCTCCAAAGCAACAGTGAAACAAGGTGGTGACAGCATCATGCTCTGGGGATGCTTTTCTGTAGAAGGAATAGGGATGTTGATGAAAGTAAGCTGATGGAGAGATGGATGATGGTTTATAGAAGGCAGATCTAAATCTGTTTTTAAATATGTGGCAGGACTTTAAAAATTACTGTTCTACTTCATCAGATTTATTTGATAAAGAAAAAGCAGGCAAAAGCTTCATTTTAAAGACATAACAAGCTGCAAGCAATAAAAGTCTTGCAGCTGTAACAAGAGAAAGGTTATTCTATAAAGTATAGCTTCAATCACCAGCTTTAAATCACCAAAAATAGACTAACATGTTCAGCTATTGTGTGGTTTTCCCACAAAGTGAAATGTACCTGACAAAACTTTGTAGACCTAGGACTTCATTAAGGTTTCGATCATAAATGCAAATAAAAATAGGTGACCGTTAATAGGTGAGCAGCAGCCACCAATTGCACGACGCTGAACGTGGTTCACAGTGTCGCTCATGTTCATTCATCAAATTTTAAACGTTTTAAATCCACCTAAATGCTTCATTGTGAACTTAAGCTGAACATCTTTTCCCAAACCAATTCGATGGCAAAGAAAATCCTGAGATATATCCTGGTCCTGAAGCGCCGGGAAACTCGTGTGGAGAAATGTGTGTGCGGCTGAGAAGAGGAGGCAGAGCGGGTGTGTGTACGCGTGCGCGCACGTGCGTGGCATGTGTGTGTGTTCAGCTTTAAGAGGAGGAAGACTACGGTTGTCACAGAGAGAAGTAGGAAGATTAGCTATCAGATAGCAGAACCAACGGTGGTGCCACGGGGCTTAAAAGCGGCCAGCCGCGTCCACCATTACGATCCCAGCAGCTTCCACACCGTCCAACACCACAGTCAGCCCTTTAAAAACTAAACCCAGCCCACAGTACATGTGCAACTAGCCGGCTTTTTATTACTGACACCGCCTCGAAGGAGGTGTTATTAGTTAGCGAGCTAACGTTAGCTAGAACGCACAAACAAAAACACGAAGAGCCATTAGCCTCGGTTAAAAGAAAAAAATACGGTAACCGTCCGTGCATCATAGGCTGAGAGATACTTTCAGACAAACTAGTAAAACTCCTCTATCGCAGTTTCTGTTCGAAACCGTGACCCAAACCGTCGGAACCGAGCCCGAACCGCTGACCTGACTGCACCCCGATAGCGGGACAGCACAAACTTTCCCCATAAAGCCCTGAAAGTAGGACTGTTTGACTCCAGCTGGGACTGTTTACATGTTTGCATCCTCCTGAGTTAAAAAAATCTTCCACTCGGAACTCCTAAATTTCACCCACCGGGCCCACGGAGTGAGCTCGCCGCCGACGAGCCGCCCGCCGGCGGTGTAACGTTGTAATCCTCACCTCATTTAGCTACTTCTAACGAAAAGAACCAACTCCGGCTGTCACATTTACACACCGGCCAGTTTGACGAAGCGTAAAATAAAGCTAAATTTCGGCTGAGCCAGCCTCCCCCCGCCTCCTCCTCGTCCTCCCCAGCGCTCAACCTTTGGCTCTGCGGAGAAGTGTTACTTTTCAACAGCCCATCAGCTTCTTTATCGTCACAGATAGGTGGAGGAAAACCTGGCTCCTCTCGTCGAGTCCGAATAAAAGGCTCCCCTCGATCCACTCTCTTAAAAAACTTAAGCTTGCTAAAAGTCAACTTACTTTGAAGCTTTGTCGCCCGTTCTTCCCCGATGGTCGAAGAGGGAACGTTTAATCTGCAATTAACCTCGATAAATCGTTGCTTTTTTTGAAATCCTGGGGATATCCTCTTTTTTTCGGCCCTCCCCGCTGCCGCGTCTGTTGCCAAATAATGCGCCTCAACACACATGGAGCCGCTGCGTCCTCTTAGTGGGCATGCGCACCTCGGCATACCAGGGCGAGCGGAGCACATCATGTAAGCCGGTGGCCACCAAGGGCCAAAGTGGGGGCCAAGGTGTCAGCGTCTGCAGGATTGACCCTTAGCAGCAGCAGTGATTAAATGAAAAAAGCACATGCTCACTCTCAGACACAGGATGTCAGAGTGAAGATTTTCCTCAAATCTTTATTTTCTCACAGGACTTCAGCTCAAATGGGTCAGACATGCCACAGATAGATAAAAATTTTTTGTATATCTCTGTTGTTTTGACTCTAATGACAGAACCCACTGATTTATTTGGTGGCAGAGGTAGAAAATCTTCATATGCACTCATAAAATGACAGGGGCTTTAGAAGAAGAGGCCTATAAGCATCCTTTTCAGTTAACATATTCCACAGGTAGATGCAGGCTCTCAGCATCTCACATCCTTCGCCGTACTTAATAGCTTTCTTGATGTCCTTTTCATCCTCGCTACAAGGTCCGACCAATCTGAACAGTTCTTTGTAGAAAAGATCAATCTTAAGCCTCTTTCATGAAACGGCTCCGCCATGCAGCGGCTAAGCTGCCTTACCATTCATTAATCACCAGTAAAGCGGAGTTTTAAAAAGAGGGGCAAAGTAAAAGAAAATCCACTGATATTTTAACTCTAACTTTCCTCTAACAAAGTGCCACCCACTGAGCTTTTAGAGAATTCAATATATAGATATTGTGAATATGACTGTCCACAGGAAGTGGCTGCACTTGATTTTAATTTTGTGGTCATATAGGGTACACACAGGCCAGAAAATGGTATAATCTAAGAGACTATGTGCATCGTATTGATACAAAAGTAAATCTGATTTGGCTGTGCACTGATCAGATATGATAAGCGTGGGCCGTCCCGGCAGGCCTGCTTACACGGCCATATAAGATGTGCTCGCTCATCACATAATCGGAGCAATCTTTAACTTCTCCAGGAATTCGAGATACAGAGTGTCAGTTGGATCCAACCAAACAGCTGCCTTCGCTTCCCATGTGCTTCAGGGAGCCATGGATGCCCATGACCCTGTTAGGGTCACCATTGTTCCTACCTTGGAGCAGCAACCACTATATACCAAGAGCAGCCAGCAGGACCTGCAGGCTTTTCTTACTTCTTATTCACAGTTAGCACATTTTTCACTTAATACATACCATTCATTAACAGCTGAAGATTGTAATGGTATAAATTTTACTTGCCAGGATTTATTCCTCCAACAACCAGGTTGAAGGTTTAGTGGTAGTCTGTCTAATTCATTGTCTCTAAATCATCTATTGGTTATTGAAGTTGCATTCCTGTGGAAACATAATAAATACATATCACTTCCTACATGAAATGTTTGCTAACTCCAGCCTTCTGTTTTTCCCTGAAGTCATGGGTTCACCATAACATCCCCATTTGTCCATCTGACTCCAGATTAAGATCTAAATCACCTCACATGAGACAATTGTCCAGTTTTTTCTTCATTCTAAAATCACTGTCTGAAAAATAAAAACAAAAACAAAAAAAAAGAGATGTAACTGCAAAGATGTGTCAATGAACTACACCAGCGTAATGAATTTATGTCTAATTTTTTGGTACATGTCAGAGGGGTTTGCTTTAATTGGCGCTTAATTGGTACCAAATATGCAAGTCCAGAACGTTCAGAGTCCTGAATTAACAACAGAGTTAAGGCCCCAGTTGCCATCTTCTTTCCAATAAAAGCTCTATGCGAATTAAACTAATCACAATCATGCACGGAAAGATGCGGGTATAGTGTATGAAGCACTGCAGTATAAGTAAGAGTCTATAAAGCCTGAAGTGGGAGAGCTTATCTGCGGCGCCTCAGAGTAGGGGGGCATGAAGTGCTATGTCAGCCTCACCCCTTCGTTCTTTAAATGACAAAAAAAGGGCTCTTTGTAGATGTTGCTGTGTCATCAGGTCTGATTGTTTGTATTCTCTCATGCTAACACTCCAGTCTCCTTAGGCCAGACAGTGTGTATAAAAGCAATCAACTTCACACTACCATCATAAATTAGAAAATGTTCAATACTTAGGAGGTATCAAACCTTCATTCAGTATCAGCTATGTAACCTTCTTTCTAGAGGAGTAATTTATTGATTTTGCTCATTTTTAATGAAAAACATTGAAGTAAAAATGATTTCAGCATCAGAGTTATAAAATCAGAAGCTTTTACTCTGACAATGAAGGCACCATCTGTGTGGTGCTGCTTAAAGTAAACTCAGGCACTCATAACACAGGTTTACCCTTAGATACCTCTACAAACTGGATTAATAACCAGTGAACCACAAATGGTTAAACAAGGCTGTGAAATTCTTGTGTCTTTTTTTCAGGTCAGTTGATATGCTGTAGTTCTACATACTGGTTTTAGTGTCGATTTAATACGTTGGAATTTCAGGACTTATTGTGCACTAAGTCAATATTTACCATCAGACCTTTGTCCAGAGCACGAAACAAATAATATTAACACAGTATCTAATGGACGGATGGAAAGAATTTGGTCTTTGCTGGATGTTTCTTTAGCTGAGTGGCAAAATCATAAGTAACAAGGCAATTTGTAGTTCACTTTAAATGTGTAGAATAGTTATTAGGCAGATGTGTATGTTTCTTATATGTATTCAACAGGTATGTCCTATATACACTGCAAAAATGATCTACAAATAAATAAAAATTCTTAAATGTAGTGTATTTAATAATAATAATTAAACTTTATTGATCTCACACTGGAGAAATTCACCTCTGCATTTAACCCATCCCCTTGGTGAGCAGTGGGCTGCCACTGTGTGGGGCTGGGGAGCAATTGAGGGTTAAGGGTCTTGCTCAGGGACCCAGAGTGGCAGTCCGTGGGAATGAGTGGGACTTGAACTATCTATCTATCTATCTATCTATCTATCTATCTATCTATCTATCTATCTATCTATCTATCTATCTATCTATCTATCTATCTATCTATCTATCTAT